CCTCAAAGAAGCATTAATCACCTCTCAAAACCCACATACACAATCCTGGCTACACAAAAGAATCAAGTAGGGCAAGAATTTGGACTGCAAGTAGCAGAATTCATGTTGCAGAAAACATTGACAACTTCCTCAGTTCACAAGATCAAACAAATCCCAGACAACTTCAGAAGACATTGCCTCAGTCACTTCATCTGATCCTGCCCATGTGGAGTGTGAGCAAATATGAGCAATTTTATCAGCAAAATGATTTGCAAACATTTCAGAGCAGCCTGAAAAGAGACAGTCCCACCCATTCTTTTCTAACAAGTGGGTTATCTCAATACCACTGGGCTACATCTTGCAGATCCAATAAGAGTGGAGAGGTACTGATTCTTCAGCACCTAAATTGGTATGGTATATGGGTTTGTAAGACATTTGGATTGAACCATCCTAAATAGTCTCCCAGATTTGCAGAGGTTGATGGTGCTGTTGAGCCACATATTGACCAGGAAGTAGATTTTGCCACAGTAATGGACTAATAACAATATCCTCCATCTTCAGATCATAAAGCCATCTGTTCTGAATCAAAGACTAGATCCACTATGTGACCATCTCTATGCATACAGCTAGTTTTCAGTTGGGACATGCTCATGATTGCCATGGAGACTGTGAATTCCAGAGCTAACCCAGATTACTGTCCCCAGGATACAAAGAGTGAAATCCTCCAGGGTTTCCAGGTACTCTTGTATCCATATCCTGAGGAGCAGAGGCTCTGGTCACAACCAAAGTGTTATGCAGTCTGCCTCATCACCACTCTGCCTCCCCATCCAGAGCTGTGACTGCTGAAACACCTAAAATCCTTGCACACAAATCTCAGACAGGACTTTATTTATATTTATACTATTTAACTAAATATCCCCATCCCTACACTTAGTTATTGTTTATACATGTCAGGTTAGCTCATTCCTCCCAAATCAACTAGTCAAGGAACAAGGTCTTATTACACATAGCCGAGCATTTACTAACAGTAGCCTAATCGTCATAAATGGCCTATTTCATTTATTACTTTTGATAATCTTCAATGGAACTCTTTGAAGGGGCAGTGAACAACTATGGACACAAATAACCAATGTGATGAAGAGAAATGAAATGTGTGTTACAGTGAGAGTCTTCAAAACCTGTGTTCTGGTAGAGGTGGACATTTTAGAGAAAACACCATTTATATACCAAGATCACAAGCTAAAATTTGCCTACATATAGCACTATTTATATTTTTCACATATATCTGTACATTTGGAGCAAGGGTGGTGTTTTTCAAGAAACGTTAAGAAGCAATACATGCTAAGCATGTCTTAACAGATGTTAAAAGTGGCTCAATTGCCAACAAACCATGTACTGTATTATGTTATATAATACTTCTAGTCTATTTTAGGTGAGACTGAAACACTAATAGTTGCATGTTAAAGTTTAGGCACCCCTTGTCAAATTGTATGTTTCAGTGAATCCCTAGGTAAATGTAAACTAACTCAACTTCTACATTATTTTTCAACATTAGCATGTTGAACAAATCCACTAATTACTGTGGTTTATTCAGTAAACAGTGGTTAAATGATGTGAAGTCATCATTTACACATCATAATTGAAATAACATTTCATAACTTTCTATCTTAGCCTTAATGCTGTAGTTTATAAGCTGTCACAAAACAATGTGGCTCACAGAAAAGAATTTGGGATGCAGTACTTTCTTAGGAAAGATTTAAATTTTTTTTTTAAAAAACAAGAAGTTAATAGACTGAAAAAAAAAGCAAGCAGAAGAGGGAAGTATTTCTGGAGTTGAAACAGTACAAACCCTAACAGTTGTAGCAGTAATTGCCAGTGCATACATACATTACTGCGCAGCTAAAAATGTAGCTACCCTTCTTGAAGTCACTATTTCTACAGTTAAACTTTAATGAAACATTTCGTAAACTCTTGAAGCGTGCAGTTCGTAATTATCAGACCATTGCATTCCAGTCAGGTGAATTAAAAGCTATAACCTCAACTTTAGCATGTAAGACATGTGACCTGCCTCTGACCCTTATCACAGGCAGCTTACCTTCCACTAACTCAAACAAAGGGTGTTCTCTTCAGAGCACCACTCCTATAGCCAACATACCGATGGCGACTGCACTCCAGAAAAGTTTCACTCAAATTGCAACATCAAATGGATTAATGTACCACCGAGAGTGCTTTAAGTATCTGATTCTTCAGTCTGAAAGGATGAGGAAAAACCAGTTTAACAGAACAAAAATACACCAATCTACCACCCTCCACAAAATACATTTACTAAAAGCTCAACTCCCTCTTTTCCCGAAAGCCCACAGTAGGTGAGGAGACAATTCTCCACAAATATTTGCATTCTGTCCTGTTCTAATAGTTGTGCCCGATAAAAACAAAAGCAAAGAAAAACTTGAAGTGCAACCAAATTCCAATCTAGCTATTTCATTTACCTATAGGTGTAATCCATATCATTATTGTTTGCTCACCTTCTAAGCCTTAAGAATGTGATTTTGGTGGTGTAAAATCTCTTACCAAAATAGAATGTTTTATAGAACATTTGATTTTATATTTAATTTTTATTTCTAGAGTCAGTCTAATGTTCTGGAATATCTCCTAGCTAGTCCACTGCTGTCCTTCTTAAACCATAACTCTAAGTAAATAATTAATACTTAGCAAATCACTTTCCAATATTTATCTGGATCAATTCCACTGAAAATATTTTAATAATAGCTCAGTGATTCACGTTTTTCTACTGGTGTTTTCTTTAAAAAAGGAAAATGTTGTCATTCACTGTAGGACAATTTATATTATTCATTCATTTATTCATTTAATTTATACCCTAAAGTTTTACTCTGATGAGTATTCAAGGTGGTTAAAAATAATATAAAGTATTAAAAATTAAAATTAATAACCACATCAATTAACTAATTGCTGGTATGAGTTTTTACAGATGACCTTGTTATTTATTTTTTATTACATTTGGACCTCACCTTTTGTAACAGGAACTCAAGAGGCATACATAGCACTTCCTTCCTCTATTTTTCCCCCTCAATAACAATTCTATAAGGTAGTTGGGCTAAGAGAGAGTGATTGGCCCAATGTCACACAGTAAGCTTCTATGACTGAGAGTAGACTAGATCCTCAGTCTCCCCACCAGTGTAACACTTAAAGCACTACACCATACTGGCTCTCAGATCTCTCATGAGATCTGTTGGATCTCATCCAAGAATAATATCGCATTGTACCACTACAGATATGTATACACTTCACACTGATTTACAGTAAATATGCAAATGAGGAGGAAGGGGGGTTATACCTGCTGACATATTAATGTGTGTCTACAAGTGGAACCTTCAATGGATTGCTGCAGTGTTGAAGGCTGCTGCTCAGGTTTCTGACCACTTCAGTCGTCCTCCACTCTCATCCCTCTGCCCTACAGCAATTTTATGACTAGACAATACATTTAGTCCTCACTGTACAGCTTTTGAATGACCTTGTTTTAGTATCCTCACTCATTGAATGACCACTCATTCAGCAACCATTCAAAGTTATGACAGTGCTGAATGAGGGAGATTTATGACCATTCCTCGTAGCTACAGCTGTTGCAGCATCCCCGTGGTCACATGACTGCAATTTGAGTGCTTGGCAACTGGCTCACAATTATTACGGTTGCAGCATCCCATGGTCACATGATTGCCATTTGCGACCTTCATTACCAGCTTCCGACAAGCAAAGTCAATGGGGAAGCTAGCAGGAGGTCACAACTGTGTGGGATTCAACTGTGTGGGATTTGCCTAACAATGGCAACTAGAACTACTGCAATTGCCATCATAAGTTGGAGTGGTCACTTGACATCGTGCTTTATGGCTGTGTTGATGGAGTTGCCAGTCCCAATTAGCATTGTTAAGCATGTTACATTGTTACCTGTACTGCTTTAGGATATACCTGACCACCACTGAATCTTACAGCTTCTTTTCCACCTAAAGATATTATTATTATTATTATTATTATTATTATTATTATTATTATTATTATTATTTACTGTTCTGCAAACTCTGAGATTCCCATA